GGCAGAGCAAAATAACTTGAACTCAAAGTTAATATAGGCTATTTTAGCTGCTAATTTGCAGGACAGAAACCTCTCTTCTTAAGCTACATCATATTCTGAGGTAACTCTCTGACTCACATGCAGAATACTGCAAGCAGGTGGTGTCATGTTGGGGTCTAGTCTTCTAACCCATATGCAGAAACACTCAAGAGACAGGAAAAATAGTTAAAAGGTTTATTGACAATGTTTTCAGAAAATGTACATGGTGTCTTGGTTCGTCGATCACGGGAGGGAAGCAACTAGAGGAGGACAGAAACGGTTAGAGTGGCTCCAGGAAACTTGCTGTTTGACGGTGGTCTGGTTTTGTACCTGCTCAGGGGGTATTCTGATCTGTAGGGGGGAACCTTGAGGGTCCAGAGGCTGAACGGCAGGAAGAGGGCTGAGGCGGAGGCGGAGGCTGAGGCGGAGGCGGAGGCTGAGGCGGAGGGCAGACAGGCAGGCTCCAGGCAGCGAGAGTTTTGTCTTGGAGTTGACTCCTCCTCCTTAAAAGCCTCCAAATGAGCAGATGGGAATCAGGTGTGCAGAAGTCAGCTCGCGCCCTCAGGAGGAAGATCTCAGGCTCCCACTGGTGGAGAAAGGTTGACAAGCCTCCGGATCCCAACAGGTGGTAGATAAAGGATAGATTTATTTGAAACCAGAAACAAAGAAAATAACAGGAACAGGGCTCTCGAGGTTCAGTGGCTTCTGAACAGGGGATGGCTGTTATCACAGGTCTTGGTGAGGCAGCATATGAACAGAGAGGTCTTAGTTTACTCTTTGAGGTCAAACAAGTGCCTATAGGAGCAGATGAGATTCTGGCAAAGAGTTTCCGGTGATACAGTGGAGTGGGAGCCTAGGCTGGTGGAATCACAGAGCTGGAGAGCAGGCAAAGGTTGACATAAGGAGCTGCAGTGAATATCATGGACAATGTGTTTCCAGACGCAGACTGTGAGGCTTCATGTACTGTAGCTGAGGCTATGTGGGGGCTGGGAAATGTCTTCAACCTGGGTAATGTGCACCAAAAAGCTTAACTTGAAATCCTAGCAGCAATTAATAAGGAAGAAAATAAGAAAACTGCTTGAAACTTGTAGAACATGATTTTACCTACAAACCATCAAGCCATGAGTGATTCTCTAGCCAGTCCTTAAGAAGGTTACAACAGATAGATGACCACCAGCTCACAGTGCTCTCTTCAGCTAATCTGCCAAAGATCCTCAGGAGGAGGAGCACTCAGCAGTCTAGGTCATGAAAAGCTATTTTCTGGACATAAGAGATTTCAAACTTTGTCAGCCTTCAGAAGTGGTTGGAAGAAGACAACTGTATTTAATGAGAAACGAATGCCGACTTAGTGCTAAAGGCATTACTTTATCACTTATTTGCACATAGGGGACTTTGAAAAGGTTAAAATTATCCGATATAGTTCCTTTATTCTATGGTATATTTGTTATTTGGGGATTTTTAAGACTTTCCTTCCAGTAAGCTCTATTCAGGCTTGGATGCAGGCTGGGTCTGAGCCATAATACAATGTTAAACCTGGTGTCAGGTATGTATAGAGAGACCAGCACAGAGCCAGAGTGATCTCTGAGTCATGTCCCATTTGTAGAGGTTGATGGATTTCCCCTTGCTTTGCTCCCTCTGCTCAGTGGGGAGAAGGCAGGCCTGATAAGGTGATTTATCTACACCTTTCCACCTCCTGTAATGGATGGCACATCCACCTTTCCCAGAAACTTCATCATCTCACGGCAGCAGCAGAACCCCCCCGTCCACCCACCCTTCACCACCACATGTACTGTAGTGGTGTAACAGAGAGAAATAAAAAAGACATACAACATAGGAATAAAACAGACAAACAAGAATGTGTGTTTCTTTCTGCACTTTCTCATTAAGGTTATCAGAGGGTGGGAACATGACACTTATCACTCTGAAGTCACTAAATCACTCTCCAGTGTCAAACAACCAAAATATTGGATAGATTTCAGCTTTAGATCTTTGCTACTAGCGCCTTGATTGATTCCTCACTCCCTTCATCCGGACCGGGTCCTTTGGGGTCCTGAGCCTCAACACAAGGAGGAGATCTAACAACAAACAGACAGAAAGATCACACAACTGGATGGCTGCTGTCATCAAAGCTCCAAATGCTGCAAACACAATATTTTTGCTTTTATTGGTAAATTCTGTGCTGTATGGCAGACAAGGAGCAGAAGGGGCCCAGAAAGTAAATGGGCAAAACAGAACAAATCAACTCAGACTGAGCTGCTCTGTCATAGCCATCTGTATGATGATGTATGATGCTACACCTGAACGATAAATAAACTTTAGAAAACTGCTTTTTAATTAGTAAATGATTTTAAAGCAAAAGGTGATCAAAAAATCTGAATCAGACATGCTTTAATAATCCCAGAGGAAAAATTACTTTTGTTACACGCTCCAGATATACAAACATTTTTATATATATATATATATATATATATATATATATATATATATATATATATATATATATATATATATATATACAACAACACAAGGCAATATAAATATATATGCATATAACTCTTTTATATATATATATATATATATATATATATATGCATATGTATAACTATAAATCCAAATAAAGTGATAGCGTGCTTAGGTCAGATTCTAACCTTCAGCTGCTACAGCAATAATGTATTGCTGTAGCAGCTGAAGGTTAATCTGATTCTGTAATGTTTGACTTTTAATTTCAATTTAGACTAATTGGGGTGGGGAAACAAATATTAGAACTCTAGGCAGCTGTGGCAGTTCTCGATTAAATTAACAGCGGAGTCAAGAAGAGGACTTTGATTTTGATTTTTCATTATCAGGGTCATAGCTAGTGTTGCACCGATACCGATACCAGTATCGGCCAGGGCCCCGATACTGCCCTAAAATGATGGTATCAGTATCGGCGAGTACCAACAAATAGGGCACCGATACCATTTTGAGAGCCTCTCAGTTTATTCAACTACTGTCACCCACTCCTGGTAGGCAATAAAAAGTTCTACTGGATTCACTTTGTATTAGATTTTTTCCTGTTTCACAAAGGTAGGCAGCAGCTTGACAAAGCCATAATGGCAATTATTTTACATTATTATGGTATCGATATCGGCCGATACTGCACAGCCAGGTATCGGGTATCGGTATCGGGGCCAAAAAATTGCATCGGCGCAACACTAGTCATAACTACAACTTTTCATCAATTCATTATCATTATATGATTTCTGTAAAATAATAAATTGGGAGACTGCGTAGAGTGCAGAATAAAAGTAATAATTTTACAGAAAAAGATATAGCATATAATTAATTGTTTTAAACATTTTGAGAGATCTGAAATATGTAAATATTTACTTCTGGTTTATGATCATTATTTTTTTTTTATATTTGTTCCTCCTACAGGACCTCTTGGAGATGGAACTGTTCTAAACACTGACTAAACTACAGAGCTGCACCTCTGTAGCAACTGGATGACCTAACGACCAAATGCCTGAGGAGGTGGAAGCTTTTAATGCACACAAGAACAGTCATATTGGTATATATATTTCTAAATCTAAGGTATGTATCAAACTCAAGTCCGCCATACCTACCAGGTCAGATTATTTGGACCTTAATTGTCTAGAACAGGGTTCCCACAAATTTTATCCTTTAACCCCCAAATTTAACAATGGTATAGACTAATAAGCCCGTAAAATATATATATCATTACTTCCTTCAATTTTTAATAATATGTATAAAATGAGGTCATTACATTCATTTTGAATACACACATTTTCTAAATTCAATTCAGTTCAGATTGTTCATATTGTGCTATTTTAATCAGATTAGTTAAAACAATCCATCTAGAGAAAACCAGCTGATTTCATCCAGTCATTGATTTTGCAGGATTCTGCAGTATGGTACAATAGATGTTGACTTGCATTTTGTCATTAACCAAATGAAATTTCACTAATTCATCACTTTCTTAATATTTAATATGGCGTTTGAGTCTGTATTTTACAATCTAATTTTGTAATTAATATCTGAATTATGTATTAAATGAATAAATAAATATTACAGCTACTTATTTAATAGTACATGTGTTTGCTGTTGTCACATTTATATGTTTCTTTATATATTTAGTCATCCATGCACTTCAGGGATCACATTGCAAAGATCTCATGATCCCCCACTAGTGGTCTCGTGACCCCCAGGCGGTCCCGACCACCATCTTGGGAACCATTGCCCTACAGGACACAAACACCGTATTTTAGCTGTAATATTTAATTAAATTTAGGGTTTTTTATCTCAATAAGCTCTACTGTGACTTTAAACTCTTACATGAAGCTGGTCTGGTCAGATAGAAAAGTAAATTTGAGGAACTTGTTTGGATCTGAGGGGGAACGTATCAAACCCAGTCATCCTTGGATCCACTTTACACTCAAGAAAGAGTTTTCTTCTGATCCTGACATGCTGGCTTCACCTGCCTAAGCATTAAAATCAGGCCCTTCTAGACTTTATTGGTTATGCTCCTAATTGATTCAACTTTTGCTTGGGTCTTTGGCCTTTTATTACATCCTTTTCAGGACTGTTTGCTGTGGATTTCTAAAGAAAAGTCATTGCATATGAGTGTGACTCTGTAAACAGCTTCTTGGCTTAAATTAAACATAATGATGATTTTTACACCTTTGAGAGGATGTCAATTTACCTCAGCGGTCAGCTGCTTTCTGCTTCGGAGCCTAGGGCCTCGGCTGACTCACCGACGCTTCAACAACAGCAGAGAGGAGGAGGGATGAGGGGAAGAAGAGAGAGACAATCAATAGCAGATCAAAGTGTTCATCTTACCTTGGGCTGCATAGAGTAAGGCGTTGTAATCAGCCAAGATACTGTTTACTTGCCAAGCCTTCCCAAGGCGAGGAGGAGGACATTACATGCTGAATAAACTGATTTTGAATAGACTGATTTTCAGTCTTGAATTAGAGGGAAAGAGAAGAATTGTGATCTTTGTGAGCCTTTATGCAGAAAACTTCAATGGTTTAATCAAACTCTCACCTCTTTAAAAAAAGTGTTACTTTTGGATGGAGAGATGCCAACAATAGGTACTTTGAACTTTTAGATTTTGGCAGACTTTGAAGCTAAAGGTAAGTCAACCTCGTCCATTGTAAAACCGCCTCAGAGCTGATTGGTTTAGCTGTGTTTCTCTCTTAGATGGAGCCAATAATGGAGCTACTGCAACAATTGAATCTGCAAACAAAGCGGTCTGGGACGTGTTTTCTGAGTTTATGCCCCTCTTTTCTGTCACCCCCAGTTGGTCATAGCAGATGCCCTCGACTAGTTCTGCTGGAGTTTTGTTTTGAGTTGAAGAACAAGCTGCTCCAAAGTAAGTGGCTGGGTTTCTAAGGTGGACAACTTTGTACAAAATGAGCTAACAAGCAATCTTTGGGGTCTGAAACTTATAGCAACCTTCTACTTTCAGTACACCAATGGTTGCTGCATGAGCCCCCGTGTTTGGTTTCCCTCAGCCCTTCCATCACCCCAGAACCCACTTTGAGCTGTGAGGTCAGAAACCCTCTCCTTTCTTGCCAGCAGAAGATTAGGGAATGTAGATGGGTTCACCGCTTGATGACACCCAGAAACTTGGGACGGGCACAGCTGTCTGTGTTCTATGGAAGATGTATGGATTTTTGTTTTTTGCTTTTATTTTATGAGGATTTCTCCTGTATCTACAATTACAGAGGATGTCGGCACTAATTTGGGCATCGATCAGGCTGCCGGCAGCAGTTGACACCCTCACAAAGGCTGTGAACGAGCAAGATAGGGAGATGAGCGGTATGCTAGGTGCGATTCAACGCAGGCTGCGGTGGTTGAAATCAAAGGTGAGATGGAATAATATCTTGGATGTGCTGTCAGGAATCCAGTTGGTGTGGTCTGTTTTTGTGTTTCTTTTCCTCCTCCACCAGGTGGTGCCCCGTTATCATTGGGTCTCCCTGCACACCTGCAGCTCATTGCCTCATTACCAGTAGAGTGTTTTTAAGCTGCTGACTGCCACTACCTCGACGCCAGAGTGTTTGCCAATACAGGGTACTCTAGCCATGCTTAGTTTAGCAGAGTCTAACCTGAGTTTTTGGATACTCTAGCCAAGCTGAGTTTTTCTGAGTCAAACTGAGTTTTTGTCAACCTTAGCCTTAATTTTGTTTTTGTCTTTGCCTCTCGGCAGGAAGTCATCCTGCAAACTGGATTTGTTCGGACCTTCTCTCTCTGGAAGGTTCAACTGAGCTTCTAACTGAGCTGGGGTTCCAAACAGGAAGTTTGGATCCACTTTCCCCAAGGGGTCGTTTGAGCTACACACCAAGCAAAGGTTTCATCTGCACCGAGGCCCGTTCAAGTACCGCAGGAAATCAGAGCGGCAGTCAGCTTCTCCATTCACCCAGGAACAACCGCAGTCTGAGTAACCCAGTCCACCCATCACCAAACAGGACAATCTCTGGTACAATCCTCACAGACTGGATTCAATAACGGACACCTTTTCCTGGAGAAGTGAGTCCGCAACCTTTTCCTCCTATTAAAAACCAAGATTCAAATTTCCCACTGAGCCTGAACTAACCGCAGTGCCTTCCCCTCACCTCCCAGTTCCAGTTTGACAGTGTTCAGAGCAGCACTGGATTCATCACATTATTCCTAATAAACCTGTTTAAACTTTTCCCTGGTCTCTCTGTTTGGTCTTCTGCATTTTGGTGTAAGACCTTAGAATATAATCATGACATGTGCATGCTTGCTTCAAGGTGGAAAAGCCCAACAAATTTGGAATATTAGACTCGCCAGGTAGAGTCAGCAAGAAAAGACTCAGACTGATGGAAAATTCCTGTGCAGCCTGCTTTCAAAACAATAAGTGTGATTCTGGATTCGGCCAACCCCTATCAAAGTCTCCCCTGGATATTATGGTGAAAGGGCACAGAAGAACTGGTCCCTCCCTCCCCTACCCGCGAACATCTGTGGATGTGCCCAGAATTGTTCATAAAGGACAATGGCCTGTGGACAGCTTTTGGGACAAATTGAACACACTCATCATTCACACAACTAATGTCTCAAATGTCAGATTGTCTTCATGTCACCCTCTGCTGAAATGTCTCGTGTTACATGTGCTTTTCTTGTGCTAAAGTTTTTTGATATCGCAAACTGATCTGTCAAGAATAAAATGTGAAATAAAGTTTCCCCCCCCCCCCCTCTCTTCCTCTCTTCCCCAACGTGGTTCCTATCTTACCACAGATATAAAGGAATTGCTATAGGTAACCGCCTGGGACATTGGAAGTCAGGTAACCGGTGGGAACCTGGGAAGCCATAAGAACCCTCCAAAGGCAGCATTCTGCGACACACATGGCCTCAGTAAAACCGTGCCCCCTCTCAGCCCCACCACCCCACCCCAATGTATGTGATGTATTGTGATGAATGGTTTGAACTGAAACTGAAATCTCGATTGCAATATAAATTGTAGTTGACAATAAAGTTGATTCATTGATTATAATGATATACTATCTGCTTTAAGGCTGATTTATACTCAGAAACCAGGTTGCTGCGTGTGTGTCACAGTGAACGCAAATATGCCCCCGCCCCTTCCGCAGACACTCTGGTGCATCTCCCCAAAGTTGACAGGACGCACCGATTGGTCAAATCTACATCCGCTCTACACTATGCGTAATTCCTGTTTGGTACCTTACTGGCTTGTTTTGTTTGTATGACCGCCATTGGGGAAAACGACTTGTGAAGATGGACTAGCTAGAAGAGCGAGTTGCGCATGAACCTTGGGAACTTTTTTCCACCTGGATCCCTGCTCTTTTTCCCCCTCATGTCCCTCGATTGTCGCGCAAACTTGCCCCTTGCGTTTTTCCACTTCCTCACCTCTTCAGGCATATCTAGACCCACAGCTAGTTCGTGATTGTCGCTCTTGCATTTTGCAGTGGAATAACATAGTGCAGACCACGCTCAAAATTGGGCATAAATCAAAAATATGTCATACCTACAACAAGCTAACTGTGACACACTGCTGCGGAAATATACACAGCCCTTTAACTGCAACACACAATAAGACGACCTGGTTTCTGAGCATAAACCAGTCCTTTAGTTTTCAAGTATTTTTTTTTTTGAAGAGGGATAAAATAAACGCGGCAAATCAGTGCTAATGAGTTGATCTGATCCCTTCTTCACCATCCGCAGCGAAAAGCTACAATAGAGTCAGTGAATGAACCATTGCTATCAAAGCCCAGAAAAAATCACTACTGATTCCTAAAGAACCAAAGGGTAGAAAAGAGCCATTCCCTGTGAGAACTACTCAGGAAATAACTGCTCAGCAGCATCTATCTGTGTTTAGTAGGTTATCTAAGTGAAGTTAACAGAGATCAGGTTTACTGTTCTTTAGGTATTCACAGCCAAGCTTAGCTGTTTGCTTTGAGTAACAGGTACTGTAGTGAGTCAGGGAATGGGGAAGTTCCAGCTCTCTGATTCTGCAGTAATTTTAACTTTGCACTGATTTTAACAAAACTGATCAAGAATCAGTTAATGAAAGTGATTTGATTCAGTCCATTCACAAAATGGTTTTATTTATTTGAATGACATGTTCACAACTGACCCAACACTGGTTGGCACAAGGCCACCCACCCTACCTGCAATAGCCCTGCTTTCTGGCTTTGCATTTTCAGTGCAACCTGTAATGGCTGGAACCACAGGCAAGAACGTGCTTAAAGTAGTAATAGATCAGCGTAATCATTACTAATAAAAACGTTGAATTGACCAGAGGTGAATCACTCTGAATTGGTATTAGTGGATAAGCTATCCCTCTTAAATATTTATCTTTAACTTAACTTTGTCTTAGAACAGGTTGGAAAATAAAGCGTCACTGTGTGAGTTTTCTTTAGACTCAGAGTCTTAACTATCATTATTACAGGCTTGGACAGATAACAGAAAATAACTAAAACCCTTCAGCTGAAAGGTGGAACACAACTATAAAAATTAAGGGTTAGAAATATGTTAATAAGCTTTTTTAAAATGAAAACCAGAGCATGTTGTTTGTACTTTTTATGCTGTCGAACCATTTTTCTTATCACAAGTATGTATTTGTTGATGTTCAAAATGTATAAACATGATGAAAAAGTAGAAAGTCCTCTAAAGTAACAACATCACTCAGGTGGGCAACTGGCTGAGTGACATTGACCCCTGACACCAGCCTCCCTCAACTGCCACGTCCTGCAAGCTGTAAAAAGCATGACTGAATCCAGAAGGGTGGGGTGGGGGGGTTTAAGGGAGTGAAATGCAGGAGAGGAAGAGGAGGAGGAGGGGTGTTATGCTGGGTGTCCATGGAGAGAACAGCAAAGTGCTAATATTTGTGAATGAATTTAGACGCTGGTTCTTCCACTGCTGAGATTCCTCATAAGAGGAGATAAAATTCAATTTCTTTTCAGCCTTTCCAGCCTCTTATCTTTGACATATGTTCCTGTCTGCTCACCTGGGTCACACTGGACCTGCAGCTTGTGTCTCCTTCTCTCCAAGCTGAAGTGACCACACACCACATGTGTCACAGGCCGACCAGACAGGGGGAACCAGCAGTGATTTTGCAAACAAGCACTCAATCAATGATGCAGTGGAGCATGTAACACATGCCAGTCAAAACCTATTACGTTCAAACAGCCCTCTTCAACTTCCACTTCAGTGGTCTGACCCTTGGGCTGATAGTCAAAGAAACTGGCCAGAGGACAGCGACACTGCTGTGGAGTCACAAGCCAAGACTGAGACGTTTATTCCATCATTACGGGTCAAAATTGGTCACATTCATGTTTTAAATTAGAATATAGATAAATGGTCAGTCGTATAAAGTGTCTTACACTGTAAGGTAATTGTAACAACACATTTTACTTTCAGTTGTATGGAAGATTGTCACAAAAAGATTTAGGGTAATCTACCATATGATTTCTTGTATCTGAAGAAAATATAAAGCAGCTTTAAGAAGCTGTTTTGATTATGCATTCATGAAAGGTCTGTTGGGGGAAAAGCATAAACCAATTTATTTAAACCTTTCAACCAATGTCACTACCCGATATGAACTGGAGGCAAAATCTGTTCCATCAGCACAACCAGAAATACACCTTCTTCACCATCAGTTAGGCTTTTGTTAAAGAGACAGAGAGAAAGCAGAAGATTGCTGCTTGAGTTAATGTGTATGTTTATATGAATTCTTGATGAGAGGCCGTTTTGATATTTAGGAGAAGATCTCTACTCTCATTTGTTCTATTGTAGATCACTAAAATATGATTCTTCCTGGTATAAATCACATTCTTGGTCGGAACAGTCATGATATATATTCTAAATTACATTCCTGCAGCAGAAATAAAATTTCAGAATGTTCAAAACTAAATTTTTATATACATAGAAATGTTTAATCATTTTAGGTGGCCATTTCACATTTCACATCAGCTTGACTGTATTTGTGATATCTGAAATACTGTCAATGTCAAACAGAAAAGTTTTCAAAGCAGATATCTAAAAAATAAGCATTTATTGAAAACACCGGATCTGCAGTGAACAGCGAGGGCGTCTACGGCAGAAACCTCTGTAGGAAGAGAACACAGGTTAGTGACTACTTCAATCTGGTGGAGGATGATTATGAACTCGAGTAACAAATGGTCTCAGAGTTCAGTCCATGTTCAGGGAGCAACGTTGGTTCCAGCCGTTCCACAGCCAACAAGATGCGGTGGACGGTGCCCAGAGGATCCAAGAAGTTGAAAGCCCTGGAGGCCGGAGAACAAAGTTCCAAGCAGACGAAGGAAGGCAGTGTAATCCAGGAGTGAAGCCAAAGCCAGTTTCAAGGAGATGCTCG